AGCTGGCGGGGGTGTTGGTGGGGTAGCTGGCAAGTGTGATGGGTGGGGGGGACGGTGGGGTAGCTGGCAAGTGTGATGGGTGGGGGTGTTGGTGGGGGTGTTGGTGGGGTAGCTGGCAAGTGTGATGGGTGGGGAGTGGTGGGGGTGTTGGTGGGGTAGCTGGCAAGTGTGATGGGTGGGGGTGTGTTGGTGGGGTAGCTGGCAAGTGTGATGGGTGGGGGTGTTGGTGGGGTAGCTGGCAAGTGTGATGGGTGGGGGTGTTGGTGGGGTAGCTGGCAAGTGTGATGGGTGGGGGTGTTGGTGGGGTAGCTGGCAAGTGTGATGGGTGGGGAGTGGTGGTGGGGTAGCTGGCAAGTGTGATGGGTGGGTGTGTTGGTGGGGGTGTTGGTGGGGTAGCTGGCAAGTGTGATGGGTGGGGGTGTTGGTGGGGTTGCTGGCACGTGTGAGGGGTGGTGGTGTTGGTGGGGTAGCTGGCAAGTGTGATGGGTGGGGGTGTTGGTGGGGGTGTTGGTGGGGTAGCTGGCAAGTGTGATGGGTGGGTGTGTTGGTGGGGTAGCTGGCAAGTGTGATGGGTGGGGGTGTTGGTGGGGTAGCTGGCAAGTGTGATGGGTGGGGAGTGGTGGTGGGGTAGCTGGCAAGTGTGATGGGTGGGTGTGTTGGTGGGGTAGCTGGCAAGTGTGATGGGTGGGGGTGTTGGTGGGGTAGCTGGCAAGTGTGATGGGTGGGGGTGTTGGTGGGGTAGCTGGCAAGTGTGATGGGTGGGGGTGTTGGTGGGGTAGCTGGCAAGTGTGATGGGTGGGGAGTGGTGGTGGGGTAGCTGGCAAGTGTGATGGGTGGGTGTGTTGGTGGGGGTGTTGGTGGGGTAGCTGGCAAGTGTGATGGGTGGGGGTGTTGGTGGGGTAGCTGGCATGTGTGTTGGGGGGGGGTGTTGGTGGGGTAGCTGGCAAGTGTGATGGGTGGGGGTGTTGGTGGGGTGTTGGTGGGGTAGCTGGCAAGTGTGATGGGTGGGGGTGGGTGGTGGGGTAGCTGGCAAGTGTGATGGGTGGGTGTGTTGGTGGGGTAGCTGGCAAGTGTGATGGGTGGGGAGTGGTGGTGGGGTAGCTGGCAAGTGTGATGGTGGGGGTGTTGGTGGGGTAGCTGGCAAGTGTGATGGGTGGGGAGTGGTGGTGGGGTAGCTGGCAAGTGTGATGGGTGGGTGTGTTGGTGGGGTAGCTGGCAAGTGTGATGGGTGGGGGTGTGTTGGTGGGGTAGCTGGCAAGTGTGATGGGTGGGGTAGCTGGCAAGTGTGATGGGTGGGTGTGTTGGTGGGGTAGCTGGCAAGTGTGATGGGTGGGGGTGTTGGTGGGGTAGCTGGCAAGTGTGATGGGTGGGGAGTGGTGGTGGGGTAGCTGGCAAGTGTGATGGGTGGGGGTGTTGGTGGGGTAGCTGGCAAGTGTGATGGGTGGGGGTGTTGGTGGGGTAGCTGGCAAGTGTGATGGGTGGGGTGTTGGTGGGGGTGTTGGTGGGGTAGCTGGCAAGTGTGATGGGTGGGGTGTTGGTGGGGTAGCTGGCAAGTGTGATGGGTGGGGGTGTTGGTGGGGTAGCTGGCAAGTGTGATGGGTGGGGGGATGGTGGGGGTGTTGGTGGGGTAGCTGGCAAGTGTGATGGGTGGGGGGATGGTGGGGGTGTTGGTGGGGTAGCTGGCAAGTGTGATGGGTAGGGGTGTTGGTGGGGTAGCTGGCAAGTGTGATGGGTGGGGGTGTTGTGAAGGGAGGTGGTGAGGGTGTTGACCGAGTCGTGTTCCCGTGCTTGTCTTAGGACTGTCCAAAAATACCTGTAGGGACAGGAGAAGGGTGTCACTGAGCCAGAGCGCGGCACAGTCATACAAGCCATATATTGACGCTATGGACAGTTAGACAGTGACGTAATGGACAGTTAGACAGTGACGTAATGGACAGTTAGACAGTGACGTAATGGACAGTTAGACAGTGACGTAATGGACAGTTAGACAGTGACGTAATGGACAGTTAGACAGTGACGTAATGGACAGTTAGACAGTGACGTAATGGACAGTGACGTAATGGACAGTTAGACAGTGACGTAATGGACAGTTAGACAGTGACGTAATGGACAGTTAGACAGTGACGTAATGGACAGTTAGACAGTGACGTAATGGACAGTTAGACAGTGACGTAATGGACAGTTAGACAGTGACGTAATGGACAGTTAGACAGTGACGTAATGGACAGTTAGACAGTGACGTAATGGACAGTTAGACAGTGACGTAATGGACAGTTAGACAGTGACGTAATGGACAGTTAGACAGTGACGTAATGGACAGTTAGACAGTGACGTAATGGACAGTTAGACAGTGACGTAATGGACAGTTAGACAGTGACGTAATGGACAGTTAGACAGTGACGTAATGGACAGTTAGACAGTGACGTAATGGACAGTTAGACAGTGACGTAATGGACAGTTACAGTGACGTAATGGACAGTTAGACAGTGACGTAATGGACAGTTAGACAGTGACGTAATGGACAGTTAGACAGTGACGTAATGGACAGTTAGACAGTGACGTAATGGACAGTTAGACAGTGACGTAATGGACAGTTAGACAGTGACGTAATGGACAGTTAGACAGTGACGTAATGGACAGTTAAACAGTACAATTTGATACCTTCACTTTATAATCATCCGGGAAAAATAAAGCTATATAAAAACAATATAAAAATATAAATATATAAAAAAATAATATAAAAAATATTCTTAGGCCTAATATAGCACATATATGTACTATATTAGGCCTTGGATAGCGTGTATTAGGCCTAAGATGGTTAGGTTATATTAGCAACATAAATACGAAACCTTTCCCGATTGGTTCAAATTCCATAGTACCAAATTGTACTTTCTAATTGTCCATAACGTTAATATGTGTATGGTAGTCCACGTCGGTAATTTAACTGTTATCTAATCAGGAGGATGGGTTGTATATGTGGTGTGCTTCCTATGTGTTGTGATATCCTTCTGTGTGCTTGCTAGGTGTTGTGATATCCTTCTGTGTGCTTGCTAGGTGTTGTGGTATCCTTCTGTGTGCTTGCTAGGTGTTGTGATATCCTTCTGTGTGCTTGCTAGGTGTTGTGATATCCTTCTGTGTGCTTGCTAGGTGTTGTGATATCCTTCTGTGTGCTTGCTAGGTGTTGTGATATCCTTCTGTGTGCTTGCTAGGTGTTGTGATATCCTTCTGTGTGCTTGCTAGGTGTTGTGATATCCTTCTGTGTGCTTGCTAGGTGTTGTGATATCCTTCTGTGCTTGCTAGGTGTTGTGATATCCTTCTGTGTGCTTGCTAGGTGTTGTGATATCCTTCTGTGCTTCCTAGGTGTTGTGATATCCTTCTGTGTGCTTCCTAGGTGTTGTGATATCCTTCTGTGTGCTTTCTAGGTGTTGTGATATCCTTCTGTGCTTCCTAGGTGTTGTGATATCCTTCTGTGTGCTTGCTAGGTGTTGTGATATCCTTCTGTGTGCTTGCTAGGTGTTGTGATATCCTTCTGTGTGCTTGCTAGGTGTTGTGATATCCTTCTGTGTGCTTGCTAGGTGTTGTGATATCCTTCTGTGTGCTTCCTAGGTGTTGTGATATCCTTCTGTGTGCTTCCTAGGTGTTGTGATATCCTTCTGTGTGCTTGCTAGGTGTTGTGATATCCTTCTGTGTGCTTGCTAGGTGTTGTGATATCCTTCTGTGTGCTTCCTAGGTGTTGTGATATCCTTCTGTGTGCTTCCTAGGTGTTGTGATATCCTTCTGTGTGCTTCCTAGGTGTTGTGATATCCTTCTGTGTGCTTCCTAGGTGTTGTGATATCCTTCTGTGTGCTTCCTAGGTGTTGTGATATCCTTCTGTGTGCTTCCTAGGTGTTGTGATATCCTTCTGTGTGCTTCCTAGGTGTTGTGATATCCTTATGTGTGCTTCCTAGGTGTTGTGATATCCTTCTGTGTGCTTCCTAGGTGTTGATATCCTCTTGTGCTTCCTAGGTGTTGTGATATCCTTCTGTGTGCTTCCTAGGTGTTGTGATATCCTTCTGTGTGCTTCCTAGGTGTTGTGATATCCTTCTGTGTGCTTCCTAGGTCTTGTGATATCCTTCTGTGTGCTTCCTAGGTCTTGTGATATCCTTCTGTGTGCTTCCTAGGTCTTGTGATATCCTTCTGTGTGCTTCCTAGGTCTTGTGATATCCTTCTGTGTGCTTCCTAGGTCTTGTGATATCCTTCTGTGTGCTTCCTAGGTGTTGTGATATGTGCTTCTAGGTCTTGTGCTTCCTAGGTGTCCTGTAATATATTCTTGTGCTTCCTAGGTGTTGATATCCTCCTGTGATTTCTAGGTTTTGTAATATCCTTCTGTGCTTCCTAGGTGTTATGTGCTTCCTAGATGCTGTGTTATCCTTCTGTGCTTCCTAGGTGCTGTGATATCCTTCTGTGCTGCCTAAATGTTGTGTTATCTTCTGGTGCTTCTCAGTGTTGTTATCCTGGTGTTGCTTGACCCTGGCGTCCGGTGCTACACCCCTTCACAGCCTTGCATGCCCCCCTCCCCCCCCCCCTCCTCAGCACCCACCAGTGGCACTGTCAGGCCAGTGACGGGTCTCCTCAGTGCCTCTCTTATCTTACTCCCCAAGCTGCCTGTAGCCCCTCAGCCCAAACACCAGGGAGCAGGATTCGTCAAACTTCCACTTACGAAACCTGTACATCTTTTCTTGATCCTAGCGGCTGAGTTTATTCAGCAGTTTTACGAGCTTGGAAACCATTGCGAGGTTCGGAGTTCGTAAGCTCTTTAATAAATAACAAAGTAAGCCGCTACGATTGAGGAAAAGATGTACGGGTTTCGTAATTTGACATATAAAATTACTGTTAATGCTCAACTCTTGCATGATTGAAATCAAACAGGTCCGTAGTTTGTACTTCTTGAGCTGTGTTCACTTTCCCTTCGTGAATGTGTTAGTAATTATATTCATCTTCGTTTTTTCTCCCTTTTGCAGGTCCAACAAGGAGGTTGTTGGGGACCTTACCAGCATCAGATCAAAGGTGCCGACATACGCAAAGGTCAGTTGTCATCTTGGCTCTACAGTGAGCATCTTCCCATTACTATGGTGATTGTCTGAGAGTTGATATTCTTTAATAAATGACTATCTCAGAGTTAAGCAAATCATCTTATAAATGAATAACTATTTTATGAATTAAATATTTTGTATTTGTAAATACACCCACACACACACACACACACACACACACACACACACACACACACACACACACACACACACACACACACACACTTAAACATTAACTAATAAAGTTTTTAAATATAAATATCGATTTCAATTACAATTTTTTTCTTATTATGGCTACTGTTAATAACACACCTGTTGTCATTATTGTTGTTATAACTAAGCCTACCACTCGCTTTCACTACAACTGTTGTCATTACTTACACAACTCTAGTCACAACTCAAATTGAGGGCTAAATAGTTTTTCAAATTGTCTAAAAAATGCTTTTTCAATTTACACTTTTGTACACCTCTTTTGTCCAACCGGAATTGTAACGATTTGAACCAGGTGATAGCAGTAGTCCTCTCTGGGTCTGGTAGAGGGGATCTGTTTTTCAATTCATTAAAGTACGTTTAAGGAGACAATAAAATACATCTCAAAAGGGATAGCGTAGCTTAGGCTATTTCTACCCTCCCTCGAGGGAACCTTGTGGCCGAGGCGTGGTGGAAGGTCTTCCCAGAAGGCTGCCACTAGCAGGGCCTTGAGGGAGGCTCTGCCCTGACCACCTCTGACGCCTAAATTACTTGACCTCTTTTCTGCGACATCCATCTCCCCCCCCCCCCCCCCCACACACACACACGTGTGTGTACGTGACTTGAGTGGACGATGTTGAGCCGCACACAAGATCACCCGGACTCTCCGGATAGGTTACTTCTAGTGATATCGTAGTGACCACCACCAGTCTCTCTCTCTCCTCTTCCTCTATTACTCTCCTCTTCAATTCCCCTTCCGTGATCTCTCACCACCTTTTCCACTTCGTGGATGTGTGCGCGTGCACTTGACAGCGCCAGGCCTAGTCCTAACTAGGCCTGGAGATCACTCCACCTCCCTAGTCCCCCACTCACGCCACTTGGAGGGGGTCGTTGCCATGTTACTGCAACTCAAACTATTGGCTGGTATTTTTAAGTGTTAATAGCACTGGCACCTTGGGTTGGTGATGAGTGCCACCACCGGTGTTGCCCTGGTGACAGTCACCCTGGCTGATGGGGTTCTGGGAGTTCTTCTACTCCCCAAGCCCGGCCCGAGGCCAGGCTCGACTGGCCTGCTGCTAGTTGTGACACTGGTGGTGGTGGAACTGTGCCAGGGGTGGCTTAATACGGCACTGGTCTTGCACGTGGCACCCTACGGTCAGGTAGTGCCCAGGAACGCTTGTTGTTGTTGTTGTTGTTAAAGATTTAGCTACTCAGGACGAAGTGTCCATGTAGCACGGGCTATGGTGAGCCCGTAATGCCCCCAGGAACGCGCGTGGTCTGGGTTAAATGAGCATCATGCTGGGTTTCACTTCATATTGAGGGCACGTGGAAAGTATTTCGTGCCCGTGCTTGTACGAAGTGACCCAAACGCTCTTCCTCTTCGCCCTCCCCCCCCCCCCCCCCCCCCCCAGCACTGCACCACTAGCATAGAGGGGGAGTCACTAGCATTGTAACTTGAGCAGCAGCGACCAGCATTAATATCTTGATAAATATGTTCCTATAATCGTGTCGTCCGTATTATATCATCTTCATAGTCGCTATCACCGCCAGTGAACCAAACAGTTTAGGCTGTGGAGAAGGTCTTGGGAGTGCGGGAAATACTAGGCGTGTGTCTGCCTGTATTTAAACCCCCCTGGCAATTCTGAGCTATTTCTTGTAAGGCTACACATACTCAGAGGCTAGATGGCGCTGCTGGCATGGGCTGGCGGTCTGTCGCAGATTAGTGTATGGGTTGGACTGGTTGGCACGACGGTGGCCTCGCTTCATGCAGGTCGGCGTTCAATCCCCCGAAGGTTCCAACAGTGGTGCTATACCTTGGTTTTTCGCTGCAACAGTTGTTAGTAAACAGCCGCTTCATTGTCTCGTGCTCTCCCCAGAACTGTCAGTCTGTTTCTGTCTCCCTCCCTCTCACCCTTGTCAATTTCAATCTGCCCTCGGGTATACAGCGTGCCCAGGTGGCAGGGAAGGATGGCGCCACTTGCCCCCATTAAGTCTTAATACATCCGCGTACAACAGATCTGTTACTTGCCTGTTACAGCTCTTCTCCTCCTCCTCCTCCTCCTCACTCTTCCTTTGTATTTTATCATTTTCCCGTGTTTTTTTTAAACATATATCTCTTGTGCATCCCTGGACATTGTGTGTGTGTGTGTGTGTGTGTGTGTGTGTGTGTGTGCTGGGACTAGGAGGAGGAGGTGCATCATGGGTAATACTGGGCCACGGTAACTGCTCTGCTCCCCTCCTGGGCTTTTAAGGGGTCGCACCGAGACAGAAGGAAGATTATTTGATAAATTGATAAAGATTAAGCCACCCAAGAGGTGGCACGGGCATGAAATAGCCCCGTAAGAGGCCGGGAAGATTATGATTAGCGAGACGTGATATAATGGGGGGCAGGCGGTAGTACCGTGATTATGTTGGTGGTTGGCGTGAGGGGAGAGGGGATGTGGTTGTAATGTTGCAGTGGTTGGCATTACGGCGCCCTAAAATGTTGCCCTCTATGACCTATGACCTGGGAGGCCACACTAATTAGCTCCTTACTCAGGAACCCCTTCCTCAGGAACTCATTATTCATGTAATTCCCTAAACTGTGTCACTAGCTTATGTAGACTTTAACTTGCACTCTGAATTGTGGGGTTCAGTTCTCGAGCCCATTATGTGCCTCTGTAACCTTTTCCACTACCGCCCACGGGGTGGGTATGGGGTGCATAATAAATGATCTGAACCTTACCAGTGACATCATTGGCCTCTCGCAAGAGGCAACATATATAGAGAGGGGAGGGAGGGAATGCGGATAGAGGGTGTGTGGGAGGGGGGAATAATAGTAGAGGTGGTGTGTGGGAGGAAGAATGATGATAGAGGGGGGGGGGTGTGTGGGAGGGGGGAAAGCTAGTACAGGGGGTGTGTGGGGGGTGTGTGGGTGGGAGAAGCTAGTACAGGGGGTGTGTGGGAGGGGGAAGCTAGTACAGGGGGTGTGTGGGAGGGGGAAGCTAGTACAGGGGGTGTGTGGGAGGGGGGAAAGCTAGTAAAGGGGGTGTGTGAGAGGGGGGAATGGGGCGAAAGAGCGTGAGAATTCAGAGTTCAGAGTAGGGCGCATTTCAGGTTGGGTCGGGTTACCCAGTAGGTAGTGATGAGTCTCACGTAGGCACCACTGTAGAGCGGCGTCCGCGCGCGAATGGGAAACTACGCAGTATTCTTATTCTCTCCCCTTCTCCCTTGCCCTAGTTCAGTATAACGCGGAGGGTCCAGATACCACCCAACAAATATAACTCATCACAATGACGCACAGCTAAATCAACATGGAATAAAGATTTAATTAGACCTAGACACTCCTGTCTATTGCTGAAACTATGTTATTCCAAATATTCAAGTTTCGTGGAGAAATGGCACTAAAAGGGTGTAAAGCACTGGTATTTTTACAAAGTTATTTGTCTTCATGTGACAAATACATAGTGCGGGTGATAGTGGTTGCCAGGATCAGGTTGGCTTAGCGTTACCTGTGGCAGGTGATGAATTTCCTAAATTCTGAGACTGTGTGTGAATTCTGTGAGCAGGAACAGTCATGATCTCGTACACAGCCTTATTGAGATATCCCGTCACAAGACACTTTGGGTCTGCCAGTGTCACCTGTGTAGTATTTGTAGCCAGATGCCTGAGCTTTGCAACCACTCTCCTGGTCCATAACACATCCAAAGTGTGATTGTGTAAGATAATAAATTGCATTCCTCTGTATTGACGAGGCAGCGTGCGAGGTTCGGTGATAGTATTACAGCTGTATCTTAATGTAAACCTCTGTAATCCCTCATATAATTTAAGGTAACTGTGTTGTTGCACGTTGTGATTTGTGGGCGAGCGAGGGTAGTCTGGTAGTTGGTCGGGAGTAGGCTCCCGCCTCATTTTGTTACAGAAAGTGTTGGCCTGGTTAATGCCAACAAAAATTCTTGGGGATGGATGGTGATAAGTTTACTCTTCCTTGGGTCTAATGTACGGGTTTGCTGGCTGGCCCGCACGCCTCGGCAGTTCCTGCCCTTCCCCAGTTCTTATTCTCGTTTAGTCACATTTAGGAATGTTGTTTATGGACAATATCCAGATGAAGATAAACATTAAGCAGGTGTGAGGGGGGGGGGGTGAAGGGCAGTTGGACTCTAGAAGGCTGCCGGGAGCCAGGCAGGCAGCTAGCCATCCGGGCTATTTATAGTAGTAGCCGCTGTAGTATTTGTAGCCAGATGCCAGGTGTTATCCGGCCCTACACATCCTGTGTGGATACAGCTCTAGCTTGTTGTTTTTGTGGTCTGTTACCGAGTGATCTACACACGTCCACCACGTACCAACCGCTGTTTACATACCAAGGTCCTATGGTATCTTTCCTCTGCCAAGGCAAGTGGCTTGAATGTGACTTGAGAAATGCACTGCTACACCCCACCTCTGTTGTCTCTCATTCATATTTGTATTGTAAACTTTTGAGCTTGTCCAGGGCCTCTCCTTTTTCTGGAATACGTTTAAGCTTTTGTTGAAATGAGGGAGATCATTTGAGAGAGAGCCCTAGTTTGATTCCTACCAACGGGAGTTAGCATAGAGGAGAATACTAACAAGATCAGTGCCTAGGGCTGTCAATGGATCTTTTACAAGTAAACATAATTGATCAGATGCTGGTGTAAACAGGAACACGTAAATGTGCTGAAGACGCTAAAATAGACCTGGTATCAAATTGATATTGAAAACGGGTAATATAATTGAGATGACTAATGTAGGGCTCTCAGTTTGTGAAACAAGTGCTACCAGATATTAATTACATGTTTAAACAGTGAAGACATTGCCGAGCAGGACTGTTAGAGGATCTTTAATCAAGAAAACCCCCACACATGTTCCAAACACGGACAATACGCTGCTAAGATGTATTTCTTATACATCAATATGTATAACGCTAAGAGGGTTCAGTTCCTGAACCGATTATGTGCCTCTGTAATCCTTTACACCACCGTTCACCGGATGAGTATGAGGTGCATAATAAAGAAAGAAATTGAAATGGCTAAGGTTGAAGAGTTATAAATACAAACCAGATTTGATCTCTTGCTGTTGGATGAGAAGTTAATATCGTGCATTTACTAAGAGTGACTAAGGAAACTTCCTTACCAGGTGTAGAAAGGTGTAGGAACAGTGGAGCATAGAAGTCCTTTAGTGGATGATGTACTCGTCGCTAGGTGAGAGTACATACATAAGGTCTGGTCAGTATATGAATGGGTGACCACGCAGACAAACAGGCTTCCTTTCACCGATAATTGTATACCAGTATATTAATGAAGTGTATTAAAGAGATGGAAATAGAGTGCAACAAACATCATAATATGACAAAAGCTCAAAACAATATTATAAATTTTCAATTTTAAAATAATTGGCTAAATCGGAAATACACGAGTATGAGAGGATGAGTTTAAATTGTAAAGTTGCTTCGCATAGGCCAGTAGACCTATTGCCCTAGGTATGGGAGTAAATACATGTGTATGCAAGTAAAATTGTGGGAGTAGTGAAGCTCCTTATATGAGAGTGGCAGTTTGGGAACCAGGGTTGAATCACTTCACACCCTAGTTAGTTTTGTCCCACCATCAACCCAAGTGTGTGTACATGTAGTAGATCCCACTGCTGCCACCATTTATAACAGTACTTTTGCTATAATGTGGCAGCTGCTGCTATCCAAAATATATACACTTGCTTCGCCACTGCACCACCACTGCTGACACTGGACTCTCCATCTGTCTTGTCTTCATCACTGTAGTTATCTTCCTACTTCAGTGACACGTGAAAACCTTTGTGGTAAACTGTTTCTCACATCTCTGTTTTCATTTCATGATTTATTTTCAGACTTCATGAAAATCACATGTAGGGGGTAGGGCTACAGGCTGATAGGGGGTAGGGCTACAGGCTGGTAGGGGATAGGGCTACAGGCTGGTAGGGGGTAGGGCTACAGGCTGGTAGGGGGTAGGGCTACAGGCTGGTAGGGGGTAGGGCTACAGGCTGGTAGGGGGTAGGGCTACAGGCTGGTAGGGGGTAGGGCTACAGGCTGGTAGGGGGTAGGGCTACAGGCTGGTAGGGGGTAGGGCTACAGGCTGGTAGGGGGTAGGGCTACAGGCTGGTAGGGGGTAGGGCTACAGGCTGTTATTTCTCAAAGCTTTTAACCTAGTCCTACCCTGACCAGCCTATGTCCATCCTGTGCCCCAAATCATCCCTCCCCCCCCCCAATCCTGCCAATTTGAGTGAGGCTAGCCCCAAGCCTCTGACTTCCTACTTTGGACAAACAGATATATAAAGTATACTATAAGAGAGTGTATGTTTTTTTTATAATAACCAGCAAGAAATTTGCTGGGAGAAACATGTTTCCTGCAACACCCACACCACACGATTCCGGAAGTGTAATGTGATTGACACAGTTGGTTTAGTGCGGCTGTTGTGGTTGTTGAGCTAACTGATGCTTCTATGTTGCAGGACTTCTTGGAGAGCCCCTCTGACTCTTTGGTGTCCCCCGAGGACGATGACGATGATCTCCTCTCCACAGTTGACGAGGACCACACGACACAGGTACAGACGGCCACACTTACCATCTTGGTCATACTTGTGTACTCGCCAGTCATCATCAGTGCTCCCTGCTCACTAAACACTCTGATGCTACTATTTACTGCTCTTAATATTATTACTGTTACAACAATAAATTGGCTGATTTTACTAATGCTAAATGCAGTAATTATTAATAATAATTAATTATTAATTATACTACTAAAGCTATTACTAATATCACTCAGAGTAATCACACTAACGTGATGTGTGAATGAGAAAATCAGTAGGAGCCGTGATGAGGGTTCGAACCTATGCCTGGGTGTTCCCAGGCACACGTCCTAGTCAACTAAACCACGACATGATCAAAAGGATTGCAACAGTTACAATCATTTTGACAATGTCGTGGCCTAGTTGACTAGGGCGTGTGCGTGTCGAACCCACGCATAAGTTCGAACCCTCATCACGGTTCCTACGGATTTATAAATATTTCTGCTTCTGCTGCTTCCACCACTAATATTTGCCACTTTATATAAAAGTCGATTCACAATCTATTTGATAATGGTTCAAGACGGACTGAAACGTCGTCGTCTCATCTTCTGATGTGTGGTTTAGTCTTTACACTAATATTGTTGATAATATTATTGCTTAATCTTTATTCTCGTACACGAGCCATTCACCATACTTATATGTAACCCCGCCCCCCATATATAACAACACTATGCTTTTCTTACCCATCACCCCCTTGTCCCTGGTGGACGTTCTGGGAGTAGTTCTCTCCTAGTCCGGCCCGGGGCCAGGCTTGACTTGAGAGAGCTTTGTCCAATATGCTGTTGCTTGGAGCGGCCGGTAGTTTTTCACTACAGTCCGGTTGGTCCGGCACGTTTTGCAGGAAACTATTCAGCTTTTTCTTAAAGCTTCCAATTTTGTTCCGGCAATATTTATTATACTTGCTGGGAGGATATTGAACAACTGGACCGCCGATGTTAAGTGTTCAGTGTTCTCTGGTTGTACCAGTGGTACCTCTACTTTCACTGGCTCTATTTTGCATTTCCTTCCATATCGTTCACTCCAGTGTGTTGTTCTGGGAGGGGCCTGGCACTCCAGTCTTTTCCATGTAGATATAATTTGGTACCCCTCTCGTGTCCTAGCGAGTAATACATTTTGAAAGCTTTGAGACGATACCAATAATTGAGGTGCTTTATATAGCCTTCCATATAAAGGCTATATAAAGGCCTTTATATAGCTATATCAGAGATATAGCCTTCCTCTGCCTCTGTCCTGTGCGTGCCGTATGTTCTCTGGACTCCCTCTAATTCAGCAGTTTTTCCCTGCTTTGAAGGAGGAAGTGACTATCGAGCAGTACTCAACGCGGGGCAGCACTAGTGATTTGAACATATAAACATTGTAATGGGATCCCTGGATTTGAAGGTTCTTGTAATCCATCTAATAATTTTTCTAGCCGACTATATATTTTCTTGGTAATGCTTCCTAAACGTTAGGTCGTCAGACATCATTATTCTCAGATCATTTACATGTTGCTCTGCTACAATGGGCAGATTTGATTGTGTCTTGTGCCTTGTATTTTGTTTAAGGTCTTCATTTTTACCACACCTTAGTACCTGGAATTTATCACTGGTAAACGACATGTTTTATCTGCTGTTCAGTTGATAACTTCTTCCCTTGTGACCCCCCTATTACAACTCCTGCACACCACGAGGCAAGTTTATTTTCGACGGTTTGGATCTCTTCCAGTTCACCAGCTCAAGCCAGGTGACGGCCCTTCTCGAAACGTTTTGGTCTTGTTCAGGAAGGTTGAAAATACAGTTCGATATTTTTATCTTTGAGAGCCCTGTATCTGATGTCTACCTCCACGGGCCCCTTCGACATTTTTATCTTTGAGAGCCCTGTATCTGATGTCTACCTCCACGGGCCCCTTCGACATTTTTATCTTTGAGAGCCCTGTATCTGATGTCTACCTCCACGGGCCCTCTTCCCTGAAGTGCCTCAACCTCGCTCTGGGCGTTTTCAGTTGTTGTTTCAGATTTAGCTACTCGGAACAAGTTCCAAGTAGCACGGGCTATGGTGAGCCCGTAACTTACCTGGCACAGGAGCGGGGCAAGTGGCACGGACAATGGTGAGCCCGTAGTGGACTTACCTGGCACAAGAGCGGGGCTATGGTGCGTTTTCAGAAGTGTCTAGTCCACTTTATGCTCTAGACAACATCTCACTCCTCACCCTCTCGCACACATTTTTCTATCACATTTATATTTTTGTCTCTAGAAGTGTCCAGTCAGTATTTTTGTCTTTTAAGAAACAGATAACGGAAGTATCCTGATCTCTTTAATCTGTAATTTTATACTCGTATTCCTTAATGCATTATAGCAGTAAAATGACCTTTTAACTGGGATTTGTCATGGTGTGTAATTAATGTTTGGGTATGCCACCCGTGTGTTAGTTAATGGTTTTGGGAGATCTGGGATGGATTTACCATCAGTGCTTATTGGTAGTAAGGCCCTGCCTCTTGTCTATTAATACCTGATATCTGTAAAAGTAGTGTTATAATAGTGCTGTAGTGATGGTAGAGTAGTTACCAGTGCTCAGTACTGTTGGTACTGAGCACTCAAGTGGAGTGTGGATACTGAGAACTGAGACGAGGGTGATGTGTCGGTACAGAGCCCCGGGAGCAGCTGCGTGTCCGCCCATGACTACTGGGACACGGGCGGCGAGAGCGACATCTACAATGTTCTCCCCGACGACCTCGACGACTCGCACGAGGAGCGACGCCTCAGCGAGAGGTCGTTCCAGAGGGCCATGCCGCAGTTGTCTCGCCGCAACCGCCGCAGGACCAAGAAACGACACCACAGCCACAGCCCGAAGGTACAAGCAGCCAGTCCTCATCTTCACCTTCCTCCTCACCTTCTCCAGCTCGTCTCCTACGTACTTGGGCAACACCTTCTTACCTGCTTCATCTTGCATATATTTATTATTGGTACAACTTGCGGAAAAGGGAGTGCAACATGCATTCCTCTTGTACCACGGGCGCGGTGCAGGGCGTGTACCAAAGGCGCGGTGCAGGGCGTGTACCACGGGCGCGGTACAGGGCGTGTACCACGGGCGCGGTACAGGGCGTGTACCACGGGCGCGGTACAGGGCGTGTACCACGGGCGCGGTACAGGGCGCGTGGCATGAGGGACAGGTGTCGTAGCGCTGGTACAAAACGGGCAGCACCGCAGCCTGGTAAACGGAACAGAGCGCTGCCATTTTTTCCAGATGCTCATTGTTTTCGTGTGTGTGTGTGTGTGTGTGTGTGTGTGTGTGTGTGTGTGTGTGTGTGTGTGTGTGTGTGTGTGTGTGTGTGTGTGTGTGTGTGTGTGTTGGCGTGGGCGCGAGCGCCGAAGGAGTGTTGTGGGAGCCAGCTGATCACCCCCCGGGGCCTGGCGCACATGTCGGGTCCACCTGTTGTGACTCCCTTGTACCCTATCCCCTTCCCTTACCCGCTCTCCTTCCTACCCTCCCACACACACTCCCTCACTTCATCTCCCCTCCACCCTCTCTTCTGTCCCTCCACCCTCTGCTCTTCTGTCCCTCCACCCTCTACTCCTCTCCTCTTCCCCTCCACTCTGCCCTCTTCTCTCCTCTTCCCCTCCTTCCCCTTGTACTCGGTCACCCTCCTCACTTAAGCATCTGGCTTTGTTCTTTGGTAGGTTTGAGCTTCAGCTCCTGGTCTCGCCAGTCAACCTTCGATTACTTCACTATTTCCTGAACCATCTGGGTACTGGGATATATACTCATGAATCAGTAGGTCTAAATTTACCTATGGCTCGCTCGCATAGTTAAAGTGTGTAACGCCGTTCGCGTCCCACTCATAGGGTGTACATGTGTGCACATATTTTAGCTGTGTGTTAACTGGTTATCAACTCTAGCCCTTGGACTGACTTTCAGCTGTCTGTCGTCTGGTGCAATGGCTCCTGAACCTCTTGTGTATATATATTTGTATGTAAAGCTGTGTATGGTGTAGGTCACCACAGCCGCCTTGTCCAAGCTCATTTTGCTTCATTGTGTACTCAAGGAGTACTTTATGCACCTCGAGTTCGTCTGTGACTTTTAGTTCCAACTATGCCATCCCACTGTGTTCCCTCACACTAGTCCAGACTTCCCTCACCTCCTTCTCCTCTTTGGTCTCCTTCTCTCATGTTCTGGCATCACTTTCGTGGCGGCTTTCTCCCTCATCTTTGTGATTTGCGAGGTATACGTGCCATGGTGGCACTCATGATGGCACCCATGGTGGCACCCATGGTGGCACTACCAGCTCGAGAGCCGCTTTGTCTTTCTGGTCCAGGGTCTTGCCTCGCTGTTTTTGTTTTGGGTACATGTATTTGTGTGCAAGATTTCTATTTCGATTCACTTGAATTCTGTACAAATGTCTTTCATTAGAAATCGTAATAGTTGTTGTGTTCCCCAGTCGTTGTGTCAGCAGTATGTAAAGGACGCTTCCACTGGCACAGTAATTTCCGCTTCTCGGTAATTGGCAGGTTAGCTGAAGGTGAATCAGAGGTGCGGAATGTACCTGTGTGTTGTGGCAGGGGATGGTTGGTATGTGCTTGTGGCGAGGATGAGGGGCAGTCGTTCTCGTCTGCTATACAACAACCAAGGCCAAGAGAAGAGCTGCTGCTTTTGGGTTGAAGATCAGAGTTTGTGACTTCAGCGGGGGACCATAACTGGCCAATTGTGTGCGTGTGGTAGGCGGTGTGGGAGTTGTGGTGTACAGGCTCTCAGAGATATACAGAGATATAGAAAGACACTGACAAGGCCAGAGGGAGAGAGATACACAAAACAAACACACAAACACACACACACACACACACTCACTCACTCACTCACTCACTCACTCACTCACTCACTCACTCACTCACTCACTCACTCACTCACTCACTCACTCTGACACAGCCACACCAACGACAATTTCTGTAACTAAGAAAACTTTTGTTAAGTCATCAGAATCCTACAAAGCTTTGAGTGTCGAAGAACAACTATAAATTGTCAAATGCGTGAAGGAATTCGTGCGGAGCCTCAGGTGGAGCCCTCGGCGTCACGCGGTATTATTGGGAAGCGGTGATTCACGCACCCCAAGACGGTGCCAAACTGGCGTGACCCGAAGCGAGGGAGACGGTATGTATTGGGACTGAACGCCACCTTGGACAAGACTGACTGACTACTAGACAGGGTGTTGTGGACAGGACTTTTAAGGAAAAAAAAAAAAAGACTACCGCGGCCTTGTTTTATATATGGAAATACGGGGAAAGCTCAATCTAACGCGAGCCAGAACAACACCAGTTATAATTAGTCACGCTATCGAAGAGGTTACAAAGGTCACAGAAGGCATGATAAAATGTACAAAATCAGCCGTGAGGTGTTGTGTGGAGAGCTCGCTATCTCTCACTCTGCTTCTCTATCCTTGTTCTATTTCCGTGATGCAGCCGCTCCATTCTCAAGTTTATAATTACTGAAAGAACTCTGGGAGGATTATTATTGCTATTGCTGCTATTATTACTGCTGCTTTTACTACTACTGGTTCTTATTAATTTTGCTAATACTGCTACAATTGACACTGCTATTCTTCCAAGTACCAGCACGAAGAATGTGCAGAGCGTGGTATACCTAGCGTGGGGAGGTGGGCGAGTCAAGTGGGTGTTGGTGGGGCAGGTGGGTGGTGGTGGGGCAGGTGGGTGGTGGTGGTGGGCGACCATACGACGAGAGAAAATACCGGCGTGCCTCAGCAGTCAGTAATCCGGGCATGTGGGAAGTGTCAGGTGGCCCGGCGGAACCTGGCATGACGCAACTTAGCCAAGTTAACTTTGGGCGTGGTTAACTTCCACTCTCACACACTCTGGCAGGTGTGTGACTTTTAGTTCACTTGAAGTTCACCGCGAGTAGTGAGGGGCTAGTTTGGCGGTAAGGGACGAGCTAGTTTAGTAATAAGGGGGAAGACTAGTTTAGCAGGTAGTGCTGACTGGGTCTTTTTAGTGCCAGTGGTGATGGAGGGAAGCTAATTTTCAGAAGGCACTGTTGTTGTTTTAGATTCAGCTACTTAGAACAAAAGTTCCAAAGTAGCACGGGCTTTGGTGAGCCCGTAGTGGACTTACCTGGCACAGGAGCGGGGCTGTAACTGAGAATGCACTGTTTGTTGTTATAGATTCAGCTACTCGGAACAAGTTCCAAGTAGCACGGGCTATGGTGACCCCGTAACTAACCTGGCACAGGAGCGGGCCAAGTAGCACGGGCTATGGTGACCCCGTAACTAACCTGGCACAGGAGCGGGCCAAGTAGCACGGGCTATGGTGAGCCCATAGTGGACTTACCTGGCACAGGAGCGGGCCAAGTAGCACGGGCTATGGTGAGCCCATAGTGGACTTACCTGGCACAGGAGCGGGCCAAGTAGCACGGGCTATGGTGAGCCCATAGTGGACTTACCTGGCACAGGAGCAGGCCAAGTAGCACGGGCTATGCTGAGCCCGTAGTGGACTTACCTGGCACAGGAGCGGGGCTGTAACTGAGAATCCAGTACGACTATATAGCACTTAGTAGGGATATGAGGACAAGGAGTTGGGATAGGACGGGGGAAAGGAATGGCGCCCAACAACTTGGAACATCGGGAATCGAACAGCGGCCTACAAGAAGCGAGACCGTCGTACTGGAGGAACATTAGTTTAAATAATAAAGGCTCGAACTTGTTACCGTGTAGTACCCGTGTACACGCCCAGTATATCATGTAGTGCCCGTGTACACACCCAGTATACCATACAGTGCCCGTGTACACTCGCAGTATACCGTGTAGTGCCCGTGTACACTCCCAGTATACCGTGTAGTGCCCGTGTACACTCGCAGTATACCGTGTAGTGCCCGTGTACACTCGCAGTATACCGTGTAGTGCCCGTGTACACGCCCAGTATACCATGTAGTGCCCGTGTACACGCCCAGTAGCACATGGGGGAACTGACGACTTGGGGAAGGTGTTGCGTCCTCTTGCCAAGACGTGTGTGCCTAGGCTGTTAATATTTATACGTCGGGGGATATGGGGGGGGGGGGATAATATATTGCCTTGGTACCATCTTGTACCTTGGATAGTGTAGTTCTTAAAGCTGTCGCACTGTGTGTGTGTGTGTGTGTGTGTGTGTGTGTGTGTGTGTGTGTGTGTGTGTGTGTGTGTGTGTGTGTGTGTGTGTGTGTGTGTGTGTGTGTGTGTGTATTCACCTAGTTGTGTTTGCGGGGGTTGAGCTCTGCTCTTTCGGCCCGGCTCTCAACTGTCAATCAACTGTTTACTAACTACTTTTTTTTCCACACACACCCCGGGAAGCAGCCTGTGACAGCTGACTAACTCCCAAGTACCTATTTACTGCTAGGCGAACAGGTGCATCAGGGTGAAAGAAACTGCCCATTTGTTTCTGCCTCTGCTAAGAATCGATCCCGGGCCCTTAGGACTACAACCCCAGAGCGATTTCCACTCAGCCGCGAGGCCCCCCTGGCACAAATCACGTGTGTGTGTGTGTGTGTGTGTGGGGGGGGGGAGAGACTGTATGTGTGTTTGTTTGTGTTAGAGTTCTTGACAGTAACAGTGAATCAAGTAACCTGTTCAAAAGATTTACCTGAAGCAATTACTTAAAATACATTGCAAGTTTTTTTTTTTTGAGTGTGTGTTGAAGGAGGAGGAACAGGTTCGAGAGCGACAGGTCAAGTTGATGCGCCAATGCTGGCCGCAACCTGTTCAGTCGTCTATATTAATCTCAAGTGGTAGCGGGTGTTAACCTTGAGCTTGGTCGCACACAACACTAAATTAACTTGGTTAGTAGTATGTAAGGTGATGTCTTTATCACAAATCATCTTATGCTGCGTTTTCTTGAAGGCTTGGGAAGGAGTAATTGGTGGTGTCCTTGGAAGGTTTGAAACTTGAGAGATACAAGCGCCTTGGAGAGTGACATTATTGAGGGGGCGAAGATAGACGTGCTTCCTTGGGAACTGTCAAGACAAGCTCATCGGAGAGCGGCAGAAAATAAGCAAATATTTCCTTGAGGACTAGACTCGAGTGTTGGTAACCTTGGATCTGGAGCAGCGTTCGTGTTGTTTACACAACCCTGGGATGGGCACGCTACCCTCAATACTCCGGCCTCCCCGAGGCCCACCAACCTCAAGCTTCACCAGTGGTACGCGTCCGCCCGCTCACAATCGAGGATCCGGATTTGATCCCCGGGTGGAACACACGCATGGTTCGACACGTTTCCTTTCACCCGATGTCTCTGTTCACCTTACAGTACGATTCTTCGCGGCGGGGATCGTATTCCAGGGACCTGCCCGAAACGCTACGCGTACTAGTAGCTCTACAATGTAACAACTCTTGTATATATCTCAAAAAAAAAAAAGTAGATACCCGGGAGTTGGACAACTATTGTGGGTTGCATCCTGAGGAAGGTCAATAGTTTACCTAGGTTTAGCTAGGGTAACCTCAGTAAACCTAAATACAGACTTACTGTCCTCAAGAACGGGAATTATCAGTCGTACTCAGTCTTAATGGTTCCCAACAAAGTATCAAAAGCAGTCATGCCCACAGAATGTCCAAGAAGTGTTGCTTGTTTTAGATTCAGCTACTCGGAACAAAAATTCCAAGTAGCACGGGCTATGGTGAGCCCGTAGTGGACTTACCTGGCACAGGAGCGGGGCTATAACTGTTGCTTGAATGCTTGCTGCTTCACAGTCTTTAGATTAAGCCACCCAAGAAAGGGTGGCCACTGGATTCAGGAACTAAATGTGTTGCTTGCCTGGGACTAGATTATATACCAGCGGTCATCAGTCCTCACCCCACCTTCCCTTCCGCAACTTACCTCTCCACCAGTGCCCTTCACCTCTCGCCACCCAGTTTTCCTCATTAGATAATTGTGGACAAATATTTTGAATGACCAAGCAGTGCGTGTAAGTAACGGGCTTTCATGTTAGATCGTGTGAGATACGGTGTGCCGGTGTCAGCACGTTGCTCACCACCGGAAGTTGACACACCTCTGAAAACGACGCTAAATGTTGGTTACTTTAGGAGGTGTGGTGGAAGTTGCCGAAGGGTCCCTTACTTAGTGGGCCAGTTATGTTGTGTTGATTTAGGAGCGACGATGATCGTGGGATCGGATGCGCCCAGTGGGCCAGGTAGAGGCCTAGGGGCCCGCGCAGGAATATTCCTGGAAAAAAGAAGACTTCTACTGCCTTTACATTAGAACACTTAGTATTTGCATTACTCCCTTGATTCTCCCCATTCAATTAAAGTTAAGAATTGCACTTTTTATATGAAAGACTGAGGCAGGATTTCATATTGGAGGATTTTAAGTCAAATATGTATGTTATTGAACTGTGGACACTACTAGGGTGATTTATTTGCACATAACAAGGTTAATGCTTCGCATAATAGCATTCCGGGTTCGCTAGCACCTCGCATAACATTCCGGGTAGGCTAGCACCTCGCATGATATCATTCCGGCTTCGCTAGCACCTCGCATGATATCATTCCGGCTTCGCTAGCACCTCGCATGATAACATTCCAGGTTCGCTAGCACCTCACATCCACTAATCATTGCAACAATAAGCTTGATGATGATAATGATGTATGCGTTGAAACATCCATTGAGAGTACTTTCCCTTCCAACTGCTGACCGGTCGACAAGCAGCTGGGTTGCGCCCTGGCACTTTCTCTCCCACAGAGTCAACTCCTCCTCTTCCCCACCTTTTTATTCTCCTGTCCTCACCTCGTACGCATTACGGGCTATTCATGCCCGTGCCCCCTCTTGAGTGGCTTAATCTTCATCATCAATCAGTCACCCCGGCAGTCTATTTGGTAATCATTGCGATACTTTAGTCATAGTCTTTAAATGCGCTTCATGAGACTCTTTCCGGCTTGGCATCTTCTTTTGATAATTACTTACTTATGCCGTGGATAGTTATCCAGCAGGAATGTTGCAACGTGACAATGTTGCGGTTGTAATTCTACGCTGTGATAGAGTAAGACAATTACTGCAAGTTTCCGTCCCCTTCCTCCCCACCACCTCCCCCTCTCATGTTCCCCTTCCTCCCCACCACCTCCCTCTCTCATGTTCCCCTTCCTCCCCACCACCTCCTCTCTCCTCATGTTCCCCTTCCTCCCCACCACCTCCCTCTCTCATGTTCCCCTTCCTCCCCCCACCACCTCCCTCTCTCATGTTCCCCTTCCTCCCCACCACCTCCTCCCTCCCATGTTCCTCTTCCTCCCCACCACCTCCTCCCTCCCATGTTCCCCTTCCTCCCCACCACCACCTCCCTCCCATGTTCCCCTTCCTCCCCACCACCACCTCCCTCCCATGTTCCTCTTCCTCCCCACCACCACCTCCCTCCCATGTTCCCCTTCCTCCCCCACCACCACCTCCCTCCCATGTTCCCCTTCCTCCCCACCACCACCTCCTCCCTCCCATGTTCCCATTCCTCCCCACCTCCTCCCTCCCATGTTCCCCTTCCTCCCCACCTCCTCCCTCCCATGTTCCCATTCCTCCCCACCACCTCCTCCCTCCCATGTTCCCCTTCCTCCCCACCACCTCCTCCCTCCCATGTTCCCCTTCTTCCCCACCACCACCTCCTCCCTCCCATGTTCCCCTTCCTCCCCACCACCACCTCCTCCCTCCCATGTTCCCATTCCTCCCCACCACCTCCTCCCTCCCATGTTCCCCTTCCTCCCCACCACCACCTCCCTCTCTCATGTTCCCATTCCTCCCCCACCACCACCTCCCTCTCTCATGTTCCCATTCCTCCCCACCACCACCTCCCTCTCTCATGTTCCCATTCCTCCCCACCACCACCTCCCTCCCATGTTCCCCTTCCTCCCCACCACCACCTCCCTCCCATGTTCCCCTTCCTCCCCACCACCTCCCCCTCCCATGTTCCCATTCCTCCCCACCACCTCCTCCCTCCCATGTTCCCCTTCCTCCCCCCACCACCTCCCTCCCATGTTCCCATTCCTCCCCCACCACCACCTCCCTCCCATGTTCCCCTTCCTCCCCACCACCACCTCCCTCCCATGTTCCCCTTCCTCCCCACCACCACCTCCCTCCCATGTTCCCCTTCCTCCCCACCACCTCCTCCCTCCCATGTTCCTCTACCCCTTATAACCCCCTCGATGCTTCCCCCCCCCCTTCCCGCTCATGTCACAACCCCCCCCCCCATGCCTCAGCCCTGTTAACCCCCCCCCCCAACAACACCTTCCGCCTCATACCATAGGCAACCCCCCCCCCCGGCCTCCATCCAAGATACTCCATGCCTCTCACTCTACTTACCCCCTCCCGTAGTTTCCGTGTTGTGGTTGTTCAGTACAATATTGTTAGGTTGAAGTAGGTACGAGCATCATCACTTGGGGATGGACGGTAGAGCGACAGTCTCCCTTTATGCAGGTCGGCGTTCAATCCCCGACCGTCCTAGTGCTTGGTCACCATTCCTTCCACCCTCCCCCCACCTCCATACCATCCCAAATCCTTTTCCCTGATTCCTTCCAAGTGCTTTACAATCGTAATGGCTTGGCGCTTTCTCCTGATAGTTCCCGTCCCTTCCCATATATAACAGTATAGAGTAGCAGCCGTGTCAAAGGCAAACTGCTTCACGCCTTCATACTTGTACACATTCAGTAATAGGTTAGGTCAACAGTGTAGACACGAACACTTCCAAGCAGTGGGTGTCGTGTGAAGTAGATATAGTAGACAAAGTTATAACAAAGGATGATTGATTCTGCTTTACAAATTATCAGAGAAACCAAATAAACTGGCGGGAATGGAGAGGGAGGGAGGAGTGGCCGCTGTGTGGGGATTTAACACACACGTGTTGGGAGGATGTATTGCACAGGTGTTAGCTGGTGGCTGTGTTGAAGGCGGGGGGGGGGGGGGGGAGATAGTGGGAGGCTTGGTGTGCGTCACTTATTGGCCTTGAGTTTACTGCTGCAGCGGTCCTCCCCTCCCTCCCTCCCACAGTGCTGACTGACTACAGTACCACTGCGAGGAGGGGCCCACGTAGCCTAGGAGCATTCGTTGGCATTCTTGAGACACGTACACGCATCTAAATGTGACTGGTTTTATGATGCTAATTTCGCAGCCTAAAATATATAATGAACGGCCACTACAAATCGGGTCTCGGGTTTAGGACTGATTTCTTGCTGGAAGGTTCAGGGCGCAGTGATGCAATGTTATGACGTGTCGTTAGTCACTGTTACTCCAGCATTCCGTTTTCCTCCTCGCTTAAAAGTATTTGTCAACGTTTTTGCCAGAAAAAACACCAATGACGCCCTCTCACTCTCTTACACCAGTACTTCCCTCCTACCCCATGCATCCGCTAGTGAGGCTCTCACTAAATTCAGAACCAGTGTATTACAGGATTACTTAATGTCTTGCCAGTAAGTAATCCATTGATCTGCTGTCTTTATACAAATTAAATAGATTTGGTCTAAATGTACATATTATTAAAACCAAAAACATATCAGAAAATAAAATTATGTATTAGACATCAGCAGGGTATCGCAGCAGATATGAGGCATAAATTGTTCTAATATTTAATCGTAGACATGTGCGGGAGGGTATCTTGTGACGTTAGTATCAGTTATTTGTAATAGAGGTACGCAAAACCTAATCTGAGCTGGGTGATAATGCTAAGATTTGTTATTCTTTCCGGGTGGGTATACAAAGTATGTTAGTTAGTATGCCCAAGGTGGGTAGAGCTGGCAGATAGCGGGGTCTACAAGTTGGCAGAAGTGATGGCTGGGCGACCCTGATGCACTGCCAGCTTTGTTTCTACAACCACCAGCATGTCCCCACCGCTTGACACAATAGAAACACGCTCCACACCCGCAGTATTTAATAGCTGTCTGGGCGGCATTAGATTTAAAGGTCAGAAGTGTGATGTGGAACGGGTGGAGGTTGGTAGATGATAGCGAGGAACATCCCCGAGGCGAAGCTAAACTGGCTCCCGGAATGTGGGCAGCGGCGGTGACGTAAGCGACTGTTGCTCCGGGAGGAGGCTCGCTCTACGTTCAGTAGCTCACCGCCGCCCGTATGATACGGACGTGTTCTCAAACGCTCTTCCCACAGTGGTTTCCACGTGCCCATATTGTATACTCCGCGGGCTCCTAGTGATACGCCAGGCTGGTAATTCTAAAGCCAAGATACTGAACATGATATATAAAGATTATTACAAGAAGTACAAGTGAAATCTAAAGCCACGTTCCGTGTAGACATTGGCTGATCCACCCAGTGTGATACGTTATCTGTGATATTTTCTGTGATAGAATTGATAAGATTATATATATTTTTTTTATATTTGTGCGTGTGGTGGACGGGTATAGAGCAACTTGTGGATCAAGATGTTGCTGGACTTAGAGCCAGTGTGGGCGATAAGCTGCCAGTGGGAGGTAAGATGTGCCTCAGACGCCACACTACACTCCTCCCTTCTTAATCTTGCCTTAGCACACAAATATTGCCACAAAACTTTCAGTGTTAGTGGGTTGTCTTTCAAGTTTTAGGCACCTTTCTAATATTCTGCTCGAGATTATTTTAAATATATTCTATTTAGCATCAAACTGTTCCATCTCTTTTTTTTTTTTTTTTTATTATTATAGCAGTGTTAGGCTATTAGTATTATCTTTTGCCTGAAAAATATGTTGGAATTTTCTTGTAACTACTACCTATAATCCATTTTCTGAAATAGATTTTTTAAATTTGTAAAAGTAAACATACATTTATTAATAACAATTTTAAATGGCTACAGCTTGTGTAATAATTTTGTCAAATATTACATTACTCAGCCTGATATATCAACACGTAACAGTGGCTATACAGGCAGTAACATCCGTACAGTGTTCATAACCTGTGATACCATGGGAGAGAAACTATTTATTATACACGCCTTAAATTTATCGCATGCTATCTAATAAGGAATGAAGTGAAATGGACCCATGGTAGATGTGTTCAGTCTTATAACAGGGGAAAAGTGCTGCAATTTGTAACAAATAATGATGATAATTTTCCCAAGCTTGGTGCATGTTGATTAATTTCTTATCTCGTTTTATATACTTATTTATTCTCAATAAAACTTGTTGGAATATATTTTATGAAACAATGTAATGGACACCACTGAAACTACAGCATATAGTTTATATGTACTTATAGAAATTACTTACAGTAATTACATTTATTTTACGTATTTTTACGAAATTACGTATAGAAATTTGTACTTACACAAGTTATATGTACCTAGACCTAGTGTATTAACAGGTGTTAACTTTGTTCCCAGCAGGATAGCGGGAGTCAATCACAGTCGACGGAAGAAGACAAAACTCCCTCCTACCTGACTTCCCTGACATCAGACGACGAGCCAACACGTTACGACCCAGTCCCACCAGAAGTCACGCCCTGTGAACTGGGCTTAAGGTCGTCCCAACAGGTATACACGACCTACATTAATGTACAAGTGTTTTATATACAGTATTCTCTTTACTGTTGTATTTATATAATTTGTACATTATGCATAATAATACTTGAATTGGTGCATCTTCAGCTATAAACCATATATATTTTGTTCTTGCAGCGTGCAACATCGGGCTTCAGTGAGTTAGTGGATGCCAGTGAACCAGTGACGAGTGACCGTGGGTCATGGAGCATGCGCGGTGCTGCCCATGCTGACCCCTGGCACCGAACTGCGCCTCGCTACAGGTAACACTGCCTTATTTAACCTAATATTGCCATATTATTTATATTGCTGGGACAAATACAGTATCTTAAATTTGACTGGAAACCGACGATTAAATTCCCTGGAAATATTGTAAGTTACTTCTTTTTCATACTCTCCCATCCTGTGAGGAGCAGTGGGAGGGTAAAACAACACATAATAGGCTCAGGAATTTATGTTGCTCATTAATATAGCTAAATAACTACAGTATTGATGAATTGGTGAAAACTATAAAGCAGTAGTCTATTTGCAGTTTTTTTCGATTAAGAAATCTAAACATTTATGTTCTGTACATTCGACTATCCACAGCCGCTTCGATGATGAAGATAGTGCAATACAGAGCAGCTGGTATCGCAGTGATGAGGACGACACAGTGCTATCGCCCCGGGCATCTCAAGCCTTCATTGATACTGGGGCACCACCAGGGCGAAATGACAACCCGCCTCCCGGCCAAAGTGCAGTCAAAATTCTTATGAAAAATATAAATTCTATCAAGAAAAAAATTAAGCGCTATGAAGAAGAATTTGAAGCTGCCTTTGGATACCGCCCTTCACACAGCGAGAAAATGAAGCACAAGGAAATTAAGAAATACATGAGCGAACTCAGCAAGGCCCGCAAAGAGCTTAAACGTATGTACATTGCTCAGTGTATGTACAGTATAATGTTTGCTATTTTTGTCATCTTTAAAAATGAACTTTATATAAAGACAAAGTTCAAATCTTATTAATTTAAACGAAGCATTAATTATTATTACCATATCTATTTTCAGAAATGAAAGATGATGTTGCTGGTTTGATGTCTGTACCAACTGTGTTTCCATTATCACTTCTCCGGTGTCAAGAGTCGACCAACCCAGGTGCAAGATCCAATGGAACCGGGTCCGGTACTGCAAGCACCTTAAAACATGTTGAAGACAGATTACGAGAAAAGCGGTCGGCTTTAGGCCGCCCAGCTGAATTAAATAACATGAGTTGCATGGAAATGCAAGAAGAAAAAACAGCCCTACAAAAGGCCCTTCTTTATTATGAATCAATTCACGGACGACCCACGAGTCGGGAGGACCGAGACTTGGCGAGGCCACTCTATGACCGTTATCGCCAAGTTAAGAGGATTGTCATGAGATCCTCATCTGTAAGTATTCAAACATTTCTGTATGTAATGTATAAACTTGTCTACTATATTGTACTTTATCTTATAGTATCTACTACTGTGGTCTACTATAGTCCACCCCCCCTGTGTTACATTATTACAAAGTGTAATTTTATCCTGATGCATATGCATCTGTTGAATAAAAATATATTTATATTTATTGAATTTTGTATTTTGCAGAGAACGAAGGAAAATCTTGCAGAATTGCCTCCAATTATTGAACATGTGGCTATGGATTTCACATTGGCCTCACCTCAACATCGCAGTTCCTTACAAGGAGATGAAATAGAAAAACTAATACAAACAGCACCCACAACCCCTCCAGGGTTTGAATCTCCACCCATGTTTGATCCTTCACGAACTGCAACCACTCGGAAGGATGACCCAAAGGATGACCCAAAGGATGGGCAGCAGACAGTTGCACTCGGTGACCTCCATGCTCTACCCCTAAGTGAACTGAGAGAAAGAAAGAAGGAAGCACGTGAAGAAAAGAAGAAATTAAGACGGTCACTCCGAGAATATGAAGAGAAATTTGAGAGAGAATTGGGCCGTAAAGTGCAAAAAGAAGATAGAGGGCCCATGGAACAGACATACTTGGATTACAAACATGCTAAAGCAAAGTTAAGGCTCCTAGAAGCTCTCCTATCAAAGCATGAACCCCTCAAGGTTTGATCGACTTTAAGCTACACTGTAAAGACAACCGTCTCGAAGCTTATTTTTGGAAAGCAAGTATTTGTAATGTGCTTGTCAATGCACTGTAAGCTTTCAATGCTGTTGTAACTGGGTTGGCTTGTTTTGATAAGATTAAAAAATTGCAGCCAGAGTTTATTCTATACAGATTCCGTATTTTGAAGTGCAGCTGATGACGTGATTGCATTGTGTGTAAGAAGGGAGGCATCCCAGTCCATGTTTTGTGCATTGTTGTTCTGACATGCGCGGGTAATGCATGAACTGTGATAAGTTGTCGAAGTTGCCAATATGGTTGTTAGCTAAAGAATCTATAGTTTTGAATATAATGCTAACTGTAGATTAAATAAGGCCTCACAAATACCTATAAAAAAAGAATGTTATCTTGTCATGGTTATTTTTATATATTCGGAGCACTTTTGGTTTGGGAACTTCAGATGCTGCTGTTGCATCATTCCTATTATTTTTTTTTAAGGATGCTCTGGACTCTAATGCATTGAAGCTTCCAAATATACTTTATCCATATAATTGCTGAACTGTGCTAAGTGTAAGGTACCTGAATTTAGCATTAAGGTACAGTAGCTGTTTGGACCCTGGGGCATGACATCTTTGAATTTTCTTAAGTATATATATATATATATATGTTTTGACAACTACTGTATATCCTTGCCCTTTGTTTGAGACATCTATAAAAGTGTATTGTTGTTTGCTTAAGAAATGCCTTTAACAAACTGTGTAATTTGCCTTCCTCAAAAAAATGACAAAGGCATGCAGGATAGTTAAGAACTCTCCTAGTGGTCTATTATACACAATGATGTGTTCACAGTAATACTTGTTTTTTTTTTTTTGGGGGGATTTTATATCGCTGACGTACCGGTAATAAGCAGACTTACATAACTTCTACAATATATCCCCAGGAAGATTTGTTGGGCCACCTGACCAATATTTGTGTATATCTTCACCCAAGATTCCTGTGGTATGCATTTAAAAGTGTGTGCGCATGTTATAGGCAAACCTACATATTGCCTAGCCACTTGTAGGAAATGTGTAGCCTATTTTGTATGTGTCATCATTCCTGTGACTTGATCCCCACAATGCTGCCTCATTCCCAACACACTTGGGGGCAGTTTGTGTGCTGCATATTCAATGTATTTAGATGTACTGCACACAAGTATTTGCCATCTGTTAGCTAAGATGCATTTGAACATTGTTGTCAGAACTCTGCATATCTTTTTTCGAGTACATTGTTTGAGAACCCAATTTCTTGTGAATGCAATTGCATATATGCAATTATTAGTTTACTTTGCAAGCAGCTGAACTTCACTAATACATAGCTAGGAGCAGCCATGGCAAACTGTCAATGAATATAGCCATAAGCTTATTGTACGCTGAAACTCTTTGCTTTGCAAGGTAATTAAATCTGAAATTCCATGCAGTTTAATATTAACTGCTGTTATGATAAAAATGCAAGTGCATTCACTTTCAAATTCAGAGTGAACTTTTATAACAGACTGTAGTGAATAGTGTTTGCATTCACAAGTAGAATATACAAATTTTACCACTGGTGACACATAATCTGAGTGTTCTTGCCTCTGTAGTTCATTACAGCTTCAGACTGCCTGTTGTTACTTTGATATGAATAGTTAGATGAATAGTATTAATATCATATATATATATATGGTTATGTATATTAATGACCTTAGATTATAATGTGGTCTTGTACCTGTTAGAATATTTACGGCAGACAGTTACTAGAAACTATTACTTCCCGTACATAAAAGGATTTACTGACTGTAGTTTGCTCAGAGCAAAGAAAAATTTGTTTTGCCCTGTGAGCCTCATTTTTCCAATGGTTGAACCATATTTTTGTTTACTTAGAAATGTTCTGTAGCTAGTGTGTTCCACTAGTCCTAATCGATTATCATAACTGACCAGCAAAAAGATGTTAAACTTCAGGCTTTTGTAATATTTTGAACTCGAGCATGAATGTTATTTATTTTTAAGGCCTTAAAAATTTACAAGTTTCCACTTGCAAGGGATGCCACTGGCATACACTTACTTTGTGTACTTATATCCCATAAAGTTGTGAATAAGGTTAATCACTATTCTTTATCTGCAGTAAAGAATAATTGCAGTAATTTCTTGTATTTAAAGGTTTAATTACTACTGTATATTCGTCTTAATATATGACATTTAGAAATGTGCAGCTTCATGAACAGATGGTTAATGATCTTATTTATTTTAATGTCTAGTCCTTTTATTAATCTAAATATACTTGCAGTGAACTTGACATCTGGATATATCATTTCCTTGGTACCTAGTATATTTGTTTCATCATACTCACTTGAAAATAGACTAAGCAATAGTGCAAAAAAAAAAATGACAAATTCCTTTGCAGTCTCATATTGCTAAGGTGATAAATAATTCATTGTATTTAAATTGTTAGGATTAGAAATTGGAAACCAGTATAGTTTTAAGGCTTTATCCAGAAAATTGTTGATTTGTTAGTCTTTTGTGTAATTCAGAAATGGCTTTGCTGCCATTACAGCAAAGCCTCAATAATCCAGTGTTCCTTTTGGGCAATTCTGATTTATACCAGTTTGAAAGACTTAAGGAAGGTCACATGGAAAGTTCTCTAATTGCCAGTGACTTAAACATTTAATCCATATAATGCATGTTTCCTATAGCAGTGTTTATCGGTTTTATCGAGGTTTTACTGTATTTCAAAGTTCCTATCTGGACTACAGCAGTTAACTGTATCAAGATGGCAAGACCCAAATTGATTTGTATAACTAAAACTTAGCTGATGAATGTAAAAGTTGGCTTGAGAGATGCTTATTTTGGATGTTTATTTACAAAAGTTTCATATTCTTTAACCAACTAGTATGCTATTTTCCATACAATGAAAATGTGACGGTAAAAGCAATTTCGAACATGTTTTACAAGAAAATGACGAAATCCTCTAATAAAGACAACGGTAAACCAATTTGTCATCCATGCAGAGGGATGAATTTTTCTCTGTCACTGAAGTGGCGGTTATGTAAAAGCAGCTCTTGATAAAAATATTTGCAGTGTCTGGTGTATGTGATGCTGGATACAGTGTACGTGATTGTTACAGAGGTCCAAATGAAGATAAGTAAATCACTCGTTTTATATGGATTAACCACACAATAAAGTCAAATGAGCAACTTGAATTTTTCTATTTCCCTTAAGACAATGTAATAAAAAGTTAAGACTAAGCTAATTCCTTGATACTCTAGTGCGGGTAATGTATTATCTAATTAAAATAGAATGTGTCCGAGGTTGGAGGTAAATTGCTTGGCGATCACTTCACTCAACTTTACAGGGTAACTAATGTATGGTAGTGGACTGTCATAGGCGAGTTGGGGGTCAGCCCTAATGCCCTCCTCTTTTTAAGTAAGGAGGGCATCTCATTTTAATCCCTAGTAACCACAATGAAGATGTTTTCAACCGTTTTGCAGCTGGTCATAATATTGCCTATTGTGAGAGCAAGAGACAAACCGAAGTATCCCTTCTAGTTAGATATAAATAGAAAGGATTAAAACTTCCCTTATACAATAGTTATACATATAACCGTCTGTTGACTATATATCTATAACTTCTCTTATAGTTATATATAAAACTACTGTATAAGGGAAGTTCTAATCCTTTCTAGTTATATATAACTAGAAGGGATACTTGGGTTTTTGTCTCTTGCTCTCACAATAGGCAATATTATGACCAGCTGCAAAACGGTTGAAAAAATCTTCATGGTAGTTACTAGGGATTAAAATGACCCCCAACTGCCCTGAGTTATGGCACCGACGACATGCCATTCCTGTAATCCTCTAATAGAAAACTGAATGACCTGAGGAGGATGAGAAGAAATATTAGGGGTCTTGAATGCTATCAATGCTTTGTACCGTCTCACAAGGTGCCTGTCATTACATGTGCACCCTTTTTTCAACAATCCAATTGTGTACCAAATTCCTGAAAGCAATATCCATGAAAGTTAAGCTTCTACCTTGAAAATTTCAGTGGAGCCAAGCAATACTACCAGTTAAGACTCGGTGGATTGACTGACTCACTGATTGACTGACAGTGGATTGAGTGACTAAAAGACTACATTGCACCAGGCAATGTAGACAGTGCTGTCTGCATTCTTATTCTTGTGTACTGCTGCTAATGATTTAGTGGGAGAGATCCTACCAGAACATTGAAACAATTTCAATGGAAGTCAAGATCCTAAGCTTATTTAAGGAGATAATGGCATATTCTTGCAGGGTCTTCAGCCCTATCCAATTTCAACGTTCCGTTGCGCCTCAATGAGCAGGTGGACTCAATAGCCAATCACGTTTCTCATTTTCAGTTGACGTCACATTGTCGCAAGCTGTACTGTCATTGGTCGGCTCGACGTAATTGGATACCTTAGTAATTCATGAGTTATTTTTTGAAACTGAAATATATAAACTCAAATGTATACCCAAAGTATGAGAAACATACATGTACCAAATGGATGAGAAATTATTAATTTGGATACAATTTACCTACTTAAAATTATGTTAGATTAAGGACCTGCCCGAAACGCTGCGCGTACTAGTGGCTTTACAAGAGTGTAATTACTGTACTATGCTATGTATTCTCACAAACCCAATGTACCTTCTTGTATATAAATAAATACATTTAATGTTTTACATTACACTCACAAATGATGATTTTCGAATACTTATTTAATAATAAGTATTATTATAATTATTAAATAATAAGATTACTTATTCAAGCTGTATGTACAGTACAACACAGTACAGCATAGTACAGTACCATACAGTACAGTTCCATTCGGTACGATACACTACAGTATACTGTACTGTATACATTACAATACAGTATACATTACAATACAGTATACTGTACTGTATACATTACAATACAGTACAGTACCGTACGATACAGTACAGTCAAGGGCACAGTACTGTACAGTACAATAGAGAACAGTACAGTACCGTACAGTACACTACAGTACAAGGTAGAGTACCGTGGAGTTCAGGACTCGCCACTGGAGGGGGCAGTCGTCGCCACGTCTCGCGTTCCCAGTAGTTGATAGCACTTTCTCTGTAACTAGCTGACATTGTACCTATAAGGTGTGAAGGACTGAAGAAATTGTTTATGTAATAATCTAAGATGAGGTCTGATAAAGACCTTTTGTGCCCTCTGTAATGCTTTTGCGCTACCGCTCACAGGATGAGTATGGGGTGCACAATAAACTAGCCGCCTTCCACGGCAACAATCAAACCAGTAGTTGTTGGCCGCTGCGAGGGCGTGGTGCGGCCGCTGACCGGCGTGTTAGCTGGCGGCATGGCGGCGGCTGGGAGTAGGCCGATTCGCCGTGTATATACTGTGGGGGTTGCTTTCTCAGCTCCTGTGGATTGCCTTCTCGTATTAGTCGCGTTACTGGATGTTTTGGATGTGAAGGTCGCCGATCTTCTAGGCCTAGAAAAACTTACGTATATGTGTGTGGCGTTGAAATTTGCCACGTCAGCCGGCTACCTGGATTTTGTACGCCGCTACACTGACGAGTCGTTTACGCTACCTGCTTCTGCTGTGACTGTGCGGGGGACGGATCCATGGGGCCCGCTGACTTTTGTGAGTATGCGTTTTGTGAGTATGCACGGTGTGCCGGTGGATTTCCCGGAGCAGGAACTGTGTTCAGAGTTTGCCAGCTAGGTTTGGTGCGGTGGTGACACATCGCTTCAATGTGTACTGATACAGAAATTTAACAAAGCCATAGAATTAGTTAGGAGCAAGGGAAGAATCCCGATGATATATGGCATTCTTCCAAGAAAGAGCGTTGGGAATGAATGGTTTTCGAGGGCACTTTGTGTCAATTGCCGGCTGGAAAGATATTGCAAAACAAACGCATTATCTTTCATAGACAACTGGGAACACTTCTATGGAAGAAGTGAAATGTATGCTCGTGATGGGGTGCATCTATCGAGGGCTGGGGTTGTTGTTGTTGCAAACTCATTGGAACTAGTGGTTACAGGCATTTGTTTGGGTTTAAACTGTTAGTAGATAGTGCTATGGGAATTGATAGGGAGGAAGGAGGTAATAAAAGTATGTGTTTGTTGGAGAAACAAATTGGCAAAATGATCAGGGAAAGAGAAGGGCCTCAAAATAACAAATCACTTAGGGTATATTACACTAACAGTAGAAGTCTAGGACACAAAGTAAACGAGTTAAATGCTCTTGTCTGTACAGAAAAAAATATATTATTGCACTTACCGAAACGTGGATGAACGTGGATTTTTGGCCGGTAGCGGCGAAAATCGCACGGTTTTTGGCCGCTAGCAGCGAAAATCGCGCGGTTTTTGCCGCTAGCGGCAAAAAACCGTGCGATTTTCGCAGCTGGCCGCCAAGAATCGGCCGATTTTTGCCGCTAACGGCCAAAAACCGCGCTATTTTCGACGCTAGCGGCCAGAAACCATGCGATTTTTGCAGCTGGCGGGCAAAAATCGCGCGAATTTCGCCGCTACCTGACAAAAATCGACCGATTTTCGCCGCTAGCGGCCAAAAATCGTGCAAATTTCGCCGCTAGCGGCCAAAAACCGTGCGATTTTCGCCGATAGTGGCCAAAAATCGGGCGATTTTTTATGCTAACGGCCGAAAACCGCGGTATTTTCGACGCTAGCGGCCAGAAACCATGAGATTTTCGCAGCTGGCGGGCAAAAATCACGCGAATTTCGCCGCTACCTGCCAAAAACCGCGCGATTTTCGCCGCTAGCAGCCAAAAACCATGCGATTTTCGCAGCTGGCGGGCAAAAAATCGCGCGAATTTCGCCGCTACCTGCCAAAAACCGCGCGATTTTCGCCGCTTCCGGCCAAAAACCATCCATTGACTTTCAGGCCCTTAGGATTGGTTTGGCCATTGCTTTACCTCCACTGAACACGGGTGTATTTGTTCTACATGGGTACAGTGCAGTTCATAGAATTACCCAAAACTTCAGAGAATTACGTAAAGAAGAAATTCTGTATAACACATTTACTTACTATAATATGTTGGTGCTGAATGTAGAACGTGGAAATAAAGTAATTTTATCAGGAGATAAGGAAATTATCAGAGAAAAGCCCCAAGCCATAACAATTTTATCAGGAAATAAACTAATTTTATAGGTGGGAAGGTGGCGTCAACGGAAGTACATGATCTAAGCATGTATATCGTGAAGTGACATGTACCACACGACCAGCCGTAAACGTATATAAAATTTGAATTTAAATTTGAATTGCTTCTATACTAACGCCAGAAGCCTAGTAAATAAATTCAATTTATTTAGGCTAAGAATCCTAATATCATTGTCATCGGTGAAACATGGGGATGAGAAGACATGATTGAAGGGACATTCCATCTTCCAGGATACCATCCACCTTTCAGAAAGGATAGAATAAGAAGTGCAGGTGGTGTAATGTAAAGAGGACTTGAATGCAACCGGCAATGAGGAATTAAACACCAAGGGATCCTCAGAATCGGTATGGTGCAACATACTGACTCAAAATGGTAGCAAATTAACAGTGGTATGCTAACGGTATGCTACAGAGCAGACACAGCAACAGCAGAGGAAGGTAATGATCTGCACTATGTAGTCAATGCAGCAACAGAAACCCAAGCCCCTAAAACGGGAAACTTTAATCACGAGACAATAGTTTGGATGAATCTAACATCAAGTTGAAGGAGAAAAATTTCTGGGATCTGGTACGAGACTCCTTTTTATTGTAGCATGTCTCAGAGCCTACCCGGGATAACAGCATTCTAGATCTTGTGCTAACGTCAGAAGCGTACATGATCGATCAAATACAGGTTGGGGAAATACACGCCCCTTCTTGTCATCACAATATCTTAAGATATATTACAATTATAGAAACCCTTGTAAAGATTCAGGATGAATGTCTAAACTACCCTCAAGAGTGAGGAATTGCAAAACACCACCTGGAGTTAATGGAGAACATGGCATGGAAGAATCATGGAATAACTTGAAAAAGATCACCGAATTGGTTCATAAATATGTACCAAGCAAGAAAAGAAAGACAACTAGATGGATGACAAGCAGTGAAAAAGAGCTCTAATAAACAAGAGCAACCTCTGGGGCAGGTATCAGTCCTCAAAGAACAGGAATCAGTCCTCAAAGAACAGGTA